AATAATTTTTAATTATATATCCATCGTCTCCTCAGTAAGTGCTCCTTCCCCCATCATCATGGTTATAGCACTTTCATTTTCATTCCATTTGAGAGAAGACAAGTAAGATTTTTCTAAGCTCACTTTGAGTTGCCGTAAGTGTGGGTACTTTACCAAGAAAAGAGGTTTATGTCGCTCAAAGCTTTTCAGTCTGGGAAGTTCAAAAAGCATGCTCCTGGCGTCTTTTCAGTTTTGGTGAGGGCTTCTGTGATGGTCCCCACGTGGTAGAAGGTTGAGTGGGAAGCAGATTGTGTGAGAGAAACCAAACAGGAGGAGGGATCTTCCTTTGTAACAGCCTCCTCTTCTGGGCCTTAGCCTATTCCCTCAAGAACTAATCCAGTCTCGGAAGACGGAGAACTCTGTACTTGGAGAACAAATGACCCCAAGTCAATCTTGAGGGATGAAGCCATGACCCAAGCACCTCCCACGAAGCCCCACCTCCCAACAGGGCCACTTTGGGGATCGAGTTTCAGTGTGAGTTTTGACAGGGGACAAATCATATCCAAATCATAGCAGGATTAATATTTTATTATCATTCTTTTCACTTTCTCTGAACCCACAGTTTCTAACCAAGAATGCCCCTTAGAATAACTCCGCAGTTCATAAAAAATACTCACATCCTGATCCCAGCCCTGAAAGGATTGATTCTAAATCAGTAGGTGGGGAAATTTGGCTTCAAAAAGGGCACAAGTGTTAGAATGCCTGGTTATGGTTAAGAAACATGGTGACTTCATCTTGAACTTTCTGGAATCACATACTCATTTGTGGACTTGATGAAGAGAGCAGTTTCTGCATAAAAAATGCACATAAACGCATGGAAAGGCAAATATACTTTCATGAAATTAATCCCACGGCCTCACTTCCTCAAGATATTGGACCCCCTCTTGCTGGACTCCAACACCTACTGTTGAGTGCATTTTCTCCCCCATTCTTTTTCTTTCACTCCAGAATCCTGAATTAGCCCTCCTGTCACACTCCTCAGCTTCATCCCCATCTACCGATAGATAGATCTTGGCCACCTCACATCTAGGTGAAAGACAAGGCCACGGTATGTAGAAGTAATGAGAAGTAAAGTGAAAGTAAACCTCAAATTTTAGAGTATAGAGAAGAATCCTCCAAATTAAAATTTATTGGTTAAATACCTACACTGCCTGGGAAGGGGTCTCACTGGCAAAGGGGATAAAATTAGAAAGAAATGAGTAACATTTATACTCTATAATGGTCCCTTGGCTTAGTACTAAAAATAAAATGGAATTTTGGTTAGATGATTAAAAAAAGGGTGAATACATTAATAAATGCACAACCAACTACAGCATAGACTACATGAAAAAAAGCAAAAAAAAAGAGAATCTTATTCATTTTGCTTTAACTTCTTTAGCCTAATTTCTTCAATCGCCAAGTGAAGGCATAAGAAGGGATTTAAATTCTTTTCCACCTCAAAATTAGGATTCCTGTAGTCTTCACCTTATCACTGTGTGAGCAGAAAGGTGAAGACCTATTTCCTAAGGCAAGCACCCAAATGGCAGATTATACCAAAAAGAAATTAAATAAATACCTCAAAGAGATACCTGTGCTCCTAAATTCACTTTAACATAGTCACAAAAGCTGAGATATGGACACAACCTAAGTCACCATCAATGGATGAATAAATAAAGAAATTATGACATATAAGTATATTCACAAAGGTGTGTTAGTCAGCCTTACAAACAACAAAAAAAGGAGACACTACCATTGCCAACAGCCTGGATACAGTCAGAGGACATGCTAAGTACTGTGTTTCCCTGAAAATAAGACCTACCTCCCCCCCAAATAAGCCCTAGCAGGATTTCCATGCATTTGTTAAATATAAGCCCTACCCCGATAATAAGGCAGATACGCTGCATAGCCACACCATGCATTTTGGCACAGAGTGGTAAGGAAGACTGGAATACCTTTTATCTGCCACAGCTCCTTTCTCCAAGCCATTGGCACTTGCAACGGTGCATGTGGTAACTGCAGTCACAGGCATCCTATTGTGCACGTGAGAATGGCTAGGGGCAAGGTGTTCATGCATCACTAGCACCAGCCCCACCAACAAGATCAGCTCCTTGTCAGGTTCCAGAAGATGATGACTTAACTGTATTTGAATAAATGTAGATTGTTGCATTATACTTAATAAAAATAAGATATCCCCTGAGGGCAGTGACTGTGGCTCAGAGAATAGGGCGCTGGTCCCATATGTTGGAGGTCGTGGGTTCAAACCCAGCTCCATCCAAAAACTGCAAAAAAAAAAAAAAAAAAAAGATATCCCCTGAAAATAAGCCCTAGTGTGTCTTCTTGAGAAAAAATAAATATAAGACAGTGTCTTATTTGGGGGAAACACAGTAGTAATAGCCAGACACAGAAATACAAATACAGTGTGACTTCACATATATGTGGAATCTTTAAAACAAACAAAAAAATCCAATACATAGAAATAGGAAGTTGGACAGAAGGTTTCCAAGGGCAGGAAGGAGAGAAAATGGAGAGAATGTCAAAAGGTACAAACTTACACCTACGTCTGATGAATAAGCCTGGAGTTTGAATGTGAAGCATGAATATTTTTGTCAATATTCTTATATACTGAAAATCTGCTAGATTTTAGGAGCATTTATCACACACAAAAAAGGAATTATGGAAGGTGATGGCTAGATTAATTTGCTTAATTGCAGGAATGATAATATGTATATTCAAACAGCATGTGGTACACCATGGATACCATTTTTTGAAAAGATCACTCATGGTGAGAGAGGGAGAGAAGAGGAATGACGCTATTTGGCAAGGCATTATTGTGTTACACTAAAGGTTGGCAGGTTAAGAATTTGCTAGAAATTTTTTTTTTTTTTTTTTTTTTTACTATTGGGGTAGCTTGTAAGAAGGAAATATTGTTTCAACACAAAATAAATGAATTTTATCCTTTATTCTACTGAATATTACAAGGATGACTGGCATCCATCGTTGCTTCCCTGGGATGAATCCAAACAAATCTTGCCTGTTCTCACTCATATGTAGAAAGTAAACATTAAAAAATATTGATCTCATGGAGACGGATAGTAGAATGAAGGTTACCAAAGGCTGTGAAGTGCAGTGAGAAGACAGGAAGAAGTGGGGATGGTTCATGTGTACAAAAATATAGTTAGATAGAATAAATAAGATTTGAAAACGCAACTGAGTTACTATAGTCAGCAGTAAGTTAGGGAACACTTCAAAATAACTTAAAAAGTGTGGAATTGAAATGGTCCTAATACAAAGACATGATAAATGCCTAAAGTGATGGATACTCCAATTACCCTGATTTCATTAATTCACATTTTATTTCTGTATCAAACCATCACATAGGCCCTATAAAGATATACAACTCTTATGAACACATAATAATTAAAAGAAAAAAATAAATATTTAAACATAAAAATAACGAAAATATATATTACTTGAGCTTCTGAAATAAGGAAGCAGAACTGTGAGTCTGTATATGGAACACTGTCCAAAACAAATTATTCACTAAAATAAGACACAGAAAATGCAGAATGCTGTCACTTACAGAACACACAGTATATGCACGGAGCATCAGCAGAGGGATCAGCAAGCTGCTAATGGTGGCTGTCTTCAAGGTGGCAGAAATGTGGGATAGGAAACGGGTGATTTCTGGGTTGGGTACAATGTGCATATATTGCCTATTTATAAAATATTTAAAATTTTTAAAGTTATACAAACTATAACACCCAAGAATATGTAAGGAATTAAAAACGTTACTCACTAGATTTAATATTTAAATGCCATCATGCAGTCTGGTTTCGTTTGCTTTGGTTTGGGATTCTTTGAGGATACAAAGAATTAGTTTACACTGATTGCATTTCTTAGGTAAAGTCGCTCTTATAATGTTTGTTTCTGAAATAGAGTCAGTCACCCTCAGTAGAGTGCTGTGGTATGGTAGCTCAGGGCAATCTCAAACTCTTGGGCTCAAGTGATCCTCTTGCCTTATCCTCCCGGGTAGCTCAGACTAGAGGTGCCGGACACAATGTCTGGCTATTTTTAGAGACAGGGTGTTACTTTTGGGCTCAGGCTGGTCCCAAACTTTTGAGCTCCACTGATCCACCTGCCTTGGCCTCCCAGAGTGCTGGGATTACAGGTGTGAGACACCGAGCTTGGCCTACCCAGCCTGTTAACACTGACGTATAGCAAAGCAAGACTATCTGGACAAATTAAATCAATGGGCATCCAGTTCTGCTGTTTCCACCCTTATTTAAACAATGTAACTGATTTGGTAATAGGAAAATTATGAATAAAAAAGAGTTAACTCGATAACACTCAATGGAGTTTCTCTGCTTTAACTAATTTCATATATTTAACACTTTCATCTTTAAAAATCACATATTTTTTGCATTTCAAAGACAATATTCACTCAACAAGTAGTCAACCTTACACAAGGTTTCTTGGGAAGTTGTATTTTCTCAAGAACTGTGAGACTTGGCTCAGTGCCCATAGCCCAGGGCTTAGGGCTCCAGCCACACACATTGAGCCAGGTGGGTTCGAACCCAGCCCGGGCCTGCTAAACAACAATGACAACTACCAAAAAAAAAAAAAGCCGAGTGTTATGGCAGGCACCTGCAGTCCCAGCTACTTGAGAAGCTGAGGCAAGAGAATCGCTTACGCCCAAGAGGTTGAGGTTGCTGTGAGTTGTGACACCACAGCACTCTGCCGAGGGTAACATAGTGAGACTCTATCTTAAAAAGAAAAAATAATAATAACAATTGTGAGACTGCAGTCGAACACCATTTAATCATAACACTCGATGTTTTCATTGTCTCTAAAGTGATGGTAGATGTATTAATCAGTGTCTAATCCCACGCGGAATGTGAAGATTAACTCTTAGGAAGGAACTGAAGTGTCAGATAATCCAGTTTGGGAGACACAAAGAAAATCAGCGTGAGAAAGGAGCATCGTTTTTAAACGTCGTTTATTTGTAGATTAAACTGTAATGCCATACAATTTTAACAATCACTTAAAAAAGGATTTATATTTGCATAAAACAGAAGCAAAACAGAAGGATATGAAATAAAACGCCAACTTGCTTCAAGTTTTCAAATCAGTACTTAGAGTACTAAGATACATCTATATACATTGCAAGTATATTATATAAATATACTATGAGTCATCTTGAAGCCACAATAAATATCAAGTAGGGTTTTAGGCACACGGCATGAGAAAAATGCAGAATCTGCATATTTCTTGAGAGTGCGGAGCAACTCACTCACAGGTCATTTTCACACATATATTTTACACCAAATATACAGCCCTCACTCACATGATCCCCAGCCACCTGTGAATTCCACCTTTCATCCCAGCATTAGTGCCTTCTTAATGTTTGATGCTATTGCTCTATATAGCTATTATATACGAAAATATTTTGCAGTTGGTTTCAGCTAATTTCCTAAGAAGGTATCAATGCTACCAAAATAATTACAACCTATCTACACGACCTGTTCATGGAAATGTGCTGAGAGGCACCAAATTACAGATCTGTCCTTTTAATACTGGAAGTTACCCTGAAGGCAAACTTGTAAATTTTAAGGTCTGTCGTTTTTGAATTGCCAATACTATTAAACCCAGAAATTATTCGAAACTGAGGTAATACCTGTTTGAGAGATAGAAATGCTTGAAAATACACCAAAAGTACTTGTAAAAATCCTGACAAACCCGGGCCTCGGTCATCATGAGCTTCGTCTGTGACCTTTTCTGCACAAATGTAAACCAAAGAACCCAAAGGAAAGCTCTAGTTGAACTGACAGCTCCTGTTAGGACTAAGGATCACAGCCATGGATCACCTGAGATCGCCCCCGATAAGCGAAGCCTAATGCTTCTCTTCATAGAGCCAATAGAGAGACAGTGTCCGTTGATGAAAATGACCCAAAGATACAGGCAGGGTTTTCCCCCAGCTACAAATCAGATTCCGGCATGTCTGGCATGTCGGCCATCAAGTACCCTATTCCATACCGTCCATTGGGAGCTGTGTCCAGGGTCGGCGATCCACTCTGTTTTCGATAAATATTTTTACCAAAATTTGGAGACGACATCTCGCTGGGTATCTTTCCGTGAATGAGGCTTGCATTGTCTCCTTCTAAGTTTATAGGCTCTTTCAGGACCCGGCCTCTCTTATAGGTCACAGATGCTAAATTCCCAGAACTGTCATCTATGAGGTTGCAGCGACGGACAATGAAGACTACGGGGATGGGGAGGACGGCGAGGACCATGAGAGAGACACAGACCACCATCCCCCACATTGGAAAGCTCAGAAATTCTTCAGATGCCTGGGAAGAAAACGAAAAGTAATGATGAATCATCTACCTTTCTCTGCACACACGTGAAAAAAATTATACTTATCTCCCGTTTGTAAGGCCAGAGACTGGGCTGGCTTTGGAACTTGCTATGACCAAGAGAAAGCAGGGGAAGTGACAGTCACCAACTTCTAGGACTAAATCTTAAAGGCCTTGCAATTTCTCGAATGCTGCCCCGAGTCCATGACGCTTGGAAGAAGGCAAGAATGCATGACCACCTAGAGACAGAAAGCTGGGGTCTCCAAGCTGAGTGCAAGTGTTAGAGTTGGCCCAGGCAAGACCAGGAGAACAGCCATTCAGGTCACCCACAGAACCCCCAGAAATATCAATCAAGGTTGCTTTTAGTCATTAAGTTCTGAGATGGTTTGTTACCAAGCAACAGGTGACTGTTAACTTGTGCCCCATTATCTTTCTAAACTATGAATATATTGATTTTGAAGCACATCTAGCCCCAAGGGATTTGGTAAAAAATAATAGACTTGTTTATGTCTCAGGTGTGACATTAGACATTATTATATAGACTAATTCATTACAGATAAGGGTCAGAGGTATCTCTGAAAAATAAATACAGTCATTTTCTAAAAGCTAATTTATATATCATGATCATATTATTAGGTGGCTAATGCAGCTTAAGCATGGAGATTAAAATAGTCATTGCTAATATAAAACACTTATACTTTAATACAGGGTGGCCATAACGTTCGTGTGTAATTTTTAATTTTATATTGCACACGAACTTGCTGGCCACCCTGTATTTTTTTAATTATGTTTATATGGCTAGTACACATTTTCATTGTTACATAATATCTGGGATATAATTTAATAAGTTGTATATTTACAATATCTCTGGAGTTTGGATTAATGTTTTCCAGAGTCAAAGCCCCAGTAATTTATTGTTTCATTGTGTTAAAATGAATAAATCTGCTTTAATAAGGACAAGGTCAGTGTTTACCATGTTTAAAGAAATTCGGGGGGCGCCTGTGGCTCAGAAGAGCAGGGCGCTGGCCCCACATGCCGGAGGTGGCGGGTTCAAACCCAGCCCCGGCCAAAACCTGCAAAAAAAAAAAAAGGAAAGAAAGAAAGAAGTTTACAATGTATTAAAAAAAAATCATAGATGCCTGGGGTATAAAACATAAATCTCAGGATGCTTCTACAAAAGCAACACCGTTATTAAACAGCAAAAAAGAACTGTGAAGAAAACAAGGAAGGGACAAATCCCTCTACGGTGCCTTTTTTTCCTTTTAAAATCTAACTTCCTTATATTGCATTTTACCTTATCTTCAATCCATGCATTATAGCCAGGAGGACTTAACCCCATATTCACAACACTAGCTGTCAGCAACGATAACAGCATTAAAGGAGAAATGTATTTCCACATATAATAGTAATATCTGCTGGGAGCAAAGCCCAGCATTTCTCTTAGGTCTTCCATAAACCTAAAAAAAAAGAAAAGAAAGTATTTAATTATTCCTCAAATTAACATTACTACACCTTAAAATGTGCATTAATTCAATAGTATGACAGAAACTTAACCTTGAATACACTATAATACATCATCCCCCACAAAGGACTGCAGTAAACTATTCAGTATACACAAGTGTTCATTTCAACATAAGGAACTGGGCCTTAGTACAGTACATGGTGCAACTCGGTCTGTGTGAATTGTGTCAGCGTAAGGAGGTGGTCCATGTAGGGAGGTGATCAACTACGGAGGGTCTATTGCAATCCAATTGGAGCCTCTTCTCTGTCAGAATTCCATACCTGCTTATAAGGCAAAAAACGAGGTTTGGAGACCAAACACCTTTAAAGTAATAGTTCTGACATCTTTTAATGCATATTTTAATCTCTCTAAGGTTAATTTTTTGGTATTTTCAAAACAGATACTATCCTCGTTACTGTTGGAATCCTAAACAACGAATGCAGCTCACACACAGTAGGAATTCAATAGATGAATTAGTGGAATTTTTCCTACTATTGTTAAAACTATTCATATTTGGAACACTATTAAAAAATAAATATTCTCTAATATGCCTATCATAAATGATGACATGTCTAAATGGAAATCTAAATGATGGATGATCTATCTAGTGACAATATCAAATTCCACCATCGTGTGGGTTAGGAGTTATGAGCAGCTCCGCAGACTTCCAAGTCAAGGTCTGGATGGTAGTTGTGGCTCTATAGTTAACAAATGTGTTCTCCATACGAGAAGGGCCAATTTCCTACCTGTAATATCTGGGAGATTTTGCTTACCACAGAGGGTTTTTTTTTTTTTAATATAGACTTTTTGTTTGTTTGTTTGTTTGTTTGTTTGTTTTTGAGACAGAGCCTCAAGTTATAGCCCTGGGTAGAGTGCTGTGGCATCACAGCTCACAGCAACCTCCAACTCCTGGGCTCAAGCAATTCTCCTGCCTCCGCCTCCCAAGTAGCTGGGACCACAGGCGCAGCCACAACGCCCGGCTATTTTTTGGTTGCAGCCATCATTGTTCTTTGGCCGGCCCGGGCTGGATTCAAACCCACCAGCTCAGGTGTATGTGGCTGGTGCCTTAGCCACTTGAGCCACAGGTACCGAGCCTAGATTTTAGTTTTTAAGAGCAATTTTAGTTTCACGACAAAACTGAACTGAAGGTAGGTAGAGTGATGTCCAGTACAGCTCTGACCACCACACATGCATGACCCTCCTCCTTCAGTTGCACCACCACCTGCCAGAGTGATACATTTGTTACAACTGATTAATCTACAGTGACACATTGTTATCACTAAGACCCCCCCCCCCCGCAGTGTGCATTGGGTACACTCTTGGTATTGTGCATTCTGCGGGTTTGGACAAACGTATAATAACACATATCCACCATTATAATATTACACAGTGCAGTTCTGTTGCTTTAAAAACCCTCTGGGCTCCACCTATTCATTCCTCTCCCCACCGCTGATAATCACTGACCTTTTTTCTCTCTTTATAGCTTTGCTGTTTCTAGAATGTTATACAGTTGGAATGTAGAGTACGTAGCCTTTTCAGAGTGGCTTCTTTTCCCTTAGTAATAAGCTTTGCATTTCCCGCAATTTTTTTCATGATTTGATAGATCATTTGTTTTTAGCCCTGTGTACCATTTCATTATCTGGATGTATCACAGTTCACTTCTATCAATTAACCTACTGAAGGGCATCTTGGTTGCCTTCGAGTTTTGGCAATTATGAATAAAGTTGTTATAAATATCTGTGTGGGGGGATTTATTTTTTTGAGTATAAACTTCCAAATCCTTTATGTAAATACGAAGACGAATGATTGCTTGATCATGTGGGAAGAGAAGGTTTAGTTTTAGTACAAGCTGCGAGGTGGTCTTCTAACTAACGCGGCTGCACCGCTCTGCAGTGCCCTCGGCAACAGAGGAGAGTTCCGCTGCTTTGCGTCCTTGCCAACGTTTTCTGCTGTCAGTTATGGAGGTTGGCTGAGCTACCAAGTGTACAGCGGTACTGCATTGTTTTAATTTGCATTTTCTTGATGATCTGTGATGTGTGTCTACATCTTACCTGCCATCCAGTGAATAGGTTTTTATAGGCTTAGACGTTAATGTATATCAGACAGCAGTTACTACTGCTGCTATTTAGTGCATAACTACTAAATTTAAGTTTCCCTATCCTTCCCTTCCTCTGTTTTTGTTTTTTTAAATTTCAGATTAATATGAAAGTGAGAACAATTAGGTTACATTGCTTGTGTTTGTTAGGTGAAGTTCAAGTTGTAGTTGATCGCTTTACCCAGGGTGTGTGCTGTTGACCCTTACACTGTGAACATTAGGTGAGAGCCTTCCAATTTCCATCTCTCCTTCCCCCATCTGGAATTTAATTTTGTTTTTCTCTCATGTGGGGGAGTAGCTGTTTACCTTCTGGTTTCATGTTAGAATTGCACACACTGGACACTTCCTTTCCATTCTTGTGATACTTAACTAAGAAGAATGTTCTTCAACCTCATCCAGATAAATACGAAAGACGTAAAGTCTCCATTTTTATGACTGAATGGTATTCCATGGTACACATACATCACAGTTTATTGATCTACTCATGAGCTGATGAGCACTTGATTCTGCATATTGGTGATTGTGAATTTAGCTGCAATGAAAATTCCAGTGCAAATGTCCTTATGGTAAAATTATTGTTACTTTTTCCTTCTGGGTAGATACCTAGTGAAAGGACTTTAGGATCAAATGGAAGGTTTACTTTTAGCTCCATGAAGATTCTTCTTACTTTTTTTCCCATGAGGCTGCATTAGTTTGCAATCCCACCAGCAGTGTAAAAGCATTCCCTTTTCCCCACATCTATGCCAGCATTTGCTGGTTTGGTTCTTTGGGGATTTTTTGTTTGGTTGGTTTTGTTTTTTGCAGTTTTTTGGGCAGGGCCGGGTTTGAACCCGCCACCTTTGGTATATATGGCTGGCACCCTACTCCTTGAGCCACATGAGGTTTGGGACTTCGCTATGTGGACTATTCTCAAGGGGTTAGGTGATATCTCAGAGTTGTTTTGATTTGTATTTCTCTGATAATTAGGGACGAGGAGCTATTTTTCATTTGCTTGGGGGCATTGATCTGTCTTCTTCAGAGCAGGTTCTGTTCATGTCTCCAGCTGATTTATAAATGGGATTGCTTACTCTTCTCTCGTTAGTTTGAGTTCCCTGGGGATTCTAGTTATTACCCCTTTGTCAGATTCACAGCATGCAAATATCTTCTCCCATTCTGAAGGGTGTCTGTTTGCTTTTGTTGTTGTGTCCTTAGCTGTGCAGAAGCTTTTTAGCTCGATCATGTCCCATTTAGTTATTTTTGGTGTTGGTTTAAATTGCCAAGGGGTCATAAAGTTTTTTCTCAGGCTAAAGTTGTTAAGAGTTTTCCCCATACATTCCTCTAGAATTTTAGTTGTTTCACATCTTAAATTTTAAGTCTTTTATCCAGAGAGTCAATTTTTCTAAGTGGTGAGAGGTGTGGGCCTAGTTTTCAGTCTTCTATATATGGCTAACCAGTTCTCATTTGTTAAATAGAGATTCTTTTCCCCACTCTATGATTTTGTTTGATTTATCAAAGATCTCACGACAATAAGTAGATGAGTTCATCTCTAAGTCTCTGTTTTATTCCATAGATCTATATCTCTATTTTTGTTCCAGTACTATGCAGTTTTGATCACTACAGAATAGCCTAGTTTTTGAAAGTCATTTAAAATTTCTGGGAGCTTTGTCACAAAGCTCATTCAAACTGATAATGTTCTTCATGTTGCTTAAAGGACTTTGGCCTCCACTCCATGTGTGCTCCTTCCTGCATGACACGGAGCTAGTATAAGCTGGAAGGTCTCATTGCCTTTTGTTCCATATATATGAGTTAGAAACAGTGACTTTAAAAATTATGGGACAAAGCCTCTAAGGGTATTTATACCCTGAGATTACAATCATGGTTTATTTAATACCATATGCATATACCTTTCACATCAGTCAAGTACATATTATAGATTTTTGGGCAATTTAAATAATACCTCCACATAAATGGGATTTAAATAATGACTCCACATAAATGGGAAGTTTTGTATATATCATATATATATGTATATATATATATATATGTGGAATACATAATTTCCCAAAATTGTCCTTCTGCATAAGGAATTACAACACATACGTTTATCTCATAAAACAGTTTAGCAAAATACTTAGGAGATAGGCTTTAAGATTAAACATAAATGAGGCTATAAATCCCAGTTTTGCTGTTGTCCAGGTATGTGATAATCGAGCCACTTTGGGTCTCTCTAAGCCTGATTTTTCCCAACTATAAAATATAGATAAGCAATAATAACTCAAAAGAACTTGAGGTTCTTGGAACCTAGCCGATACTCACTGGATCTTTGAAGTGACTGTTTGATAACCAGAATTAAATTAAAGCTTCCGACTTCTAGACCAACATTATAATCTTTACAATTCTAATTATTCATCCAGTAGGAGACAATCCTTTCATAAAATTGTTAATTGAACAAGAACCTGCAAAGGATTTCATTTTCTAAAGAATTCCACCCTCCATTCATTTTCCTCCTCTGAATGAACTAGGTATCAATAATTGGTCTTTTCAAAAGAAAGATAAAAAATGAATGCATGAAAGCAAATATACTTACTTATCTATGCCATAAACAAAGCAGACAGCAATATTCTCCAAAATGACTACAATTAGCAGAGGCAATGTAGCAGAATAGTCGTCAAACATCGTAACAAAGTAATTTCCAGAACGCTGCACAAATATCAGGCCGATACAAAATGCCAGGAGACAACAGATCACTGGGGAAAGTGAATAAATGAAAGAAATGATCCCTTACTGACAGTCAGGTCTTTAAATCTTTATTATAAATTATTATATTCAAACATTTTTAACCTTGTATAACATCCCATGCAATCCTTTCTTCTGATTCTATGGAATATAACATATTTTGGGTGAAATTACTTGCGTTTTTACTAAGCCCACCTTTAATATAAATTTATTATAATACACTAACTCATCTCCTTGAGTTTATTTACCATAATTGATAGAACATTTTGAAAGTATAAATGTCCATAACTTATTTTTCGTCTTAATAACAAAGCCACTTTTTTTAGCAGTAAATATTCATAGGTCATTTCCACTTTCAATAACATTGTATAGTGTTGGAATCTATACTGAAAGTTTGAATTCACTCTGAGATAACATGGCTTATAACCCGATTGAACACAAGTATTTTTATAATTTATGGGATATGTTTAGTTTAAAACATAACTAGAAAAATACGATCAGCACCATTCAATAGTTGTGCATTTATCTTGCCTAAACAGATTAGCTTAGAAACTAATTATGACAAGGTTAAGTAACCTGATTATCCAAGCAACATTTAAGAAAAGTCATCCAAAATGAGTTTTCCAAATAATATTTTAGAAACAAATGTACACATTTCTGACTAGGTACCATTAACATAAAAACTTAGGTTTTTTGAATTCATATGATGTTTCCATATTTTTGGAAACATTTTATTTTGGATTCTTTATTCTCTAATATTTATTAGTAAATAAAATATGACTCAATTCTATTTCCCAACCACATTTTGGCAGAATGAGTAAAACAGAAAGAAGAAGAGTGGGTGACTGCAGTCTAGGAGAGGAGAAAACAGACATCTACAGATTCAATCAGATAAGGGCTCCCTAACAATCTCAACTGAGCATGAGTCCCATTACCTCCGTCTCTTAAGCATCATGTTAGTGCTATGAGTTACATCACACAGAAAAGAGTATCGTGTGTAAACACATAAAGTAAAAATAAGTAGCATTTCCTTCGAAGTCTACTGCATATCAAATTTAAATACTTATCACAGCATAAAATAAATATTATCTTCCTTAACTTTTATTTTTTTCACTTTTTAAAATTTTTTTTTTAATTTTTACATATACATGTGATTATTAGGTTTCTACTTTTTGCCTTCACAGAATGAAAAAGTCTGAAAATTTACCAACCATAACAATGTTTAAGATAAAGACTAGACACAAAAAACCTTGTAATGAATGAATGAAGATAAATACATTCAGAAAAGAAATGAGATGATTGCTGCAATGAAGTATTAAGCAATAATAATAATAGTATCTTACTTAACTTTTGAACAACAGAGTTGAACAATGTATTGCTATTTTAATTCTATAGATGAGAGAGCTGACCCCGAGGAATTTAAATACTGTTCTCAAAGTCTCAGGCTGGCAACAGCAGAGCTAAATTTGAACTTAAGTCTGACTCTATAGCCTGTGTACCTATGTAACTAATTGCATTGTCTTCATAAGGCAAATATGAAGAGAGTATATTCTATGTAGCACAGAGGGTAATAGTTTTGCTTTAGATATGAGATAAAAAGGTCATGAGTAATATACTTAAGTGCTACTGTACTATAGAGGTGACTCCATAGTGACATAACATTGCATTGACATTAATATGACTAGGACTTGAAGGGCAGGTATGATCCCAGCAGGCGGGAAATGAGGCAAGACAGCACATTCCCCTTTGCTCTCCCCAAGTAACTCTTCCAGTACGAGTAAGCAAATACCAGCTGTACACGGTTACTTGTTCTTTAAATCTGCAAGCCCCTTACTACAGGATGGGATGGTTTGGCCACGGAGACCAATACAAGAAACTCAAAGATGACTCCAGCCTGCACGTCAGGCAGGATACTGAGGCTGACAGGAAGAAACAGATCAAATTGCCTTTTGAAGATCGATAGCTATCTATATTTAACAGATTACTGAAATTAACTTGTTTACACACACACACACACTCTTAGCAGAGCAGCTAGTAAGAAAGGCACGTATTTTGAATTATTCACCCATAAGTTATTACTAAATCTTTCATGACTAAAAACAGAGCTTTGGGAGCTTTCCCACTACCGCCTAGTGAGAAAGATCACCAGGGTATTTTTTAGCTAATCTTATTTTGCATCACCTAAAAGACGCTCCTGTACTCTGGTCTGGCTGACTTCCTATTTGTTCCCTTAATCTCCACTTACATATATTTACTGACATTGTTCTCTGACCTCTGAGAAAACCCCTTCCTGTTTCTAATACAATTTCCATCTCGTGTCTGATAGTTCCACCATATACTTAGATGACGTAGCCTTTTCTGAATTCTAAGAACATGCAAAATTGCTATACTGCTGTCTATCAGTATATTGTGGGATGTCTTATCTACCGAACCATATTTTAATTTTAGCACTATCATTATCAGAGAAGAGATGCCTTTATGCCTCTGTTTCTCTTTTGTAATTTCTCTTATAACCTTATATTTCACAAATGCATGGAAGATGTAGCACAAAACCGGGACTCTAATAATCATTTGAAGATTGGACATATTAACAGAGGTCTGTGTAGATATATTGTTTTCTTTTCTAACTAGAGACACTATCAGTAAATCACAATTTAGATTATATATGAGAACTGGATTTAAAGTTTGTCATTTTCAACTATGTACTTTTTGGATTAGAGTATTGCATCTGAGCTGCTCTATTTATAATTATTTGACTTGTAGACAAAAATTACACATGAACATTTTAAGACGATTCTGATGTCATAAGTACTATTGTTAAATTATAAACAAATGAATAACGATAATTAATTAAATATAATTTGAGTAAACATATGCATATTACATAAATCCGTATATAAATACAATGATAATAAGTATTAATAAATAGAGATTAATAAAATTCCAAACATAACACATTCCCATTTCCATCTCTAATAAAACTGCCTGTATCAGTTTGGTGAAAAGAGAAATATGCAAAAACTCACCAGTGAGAAATTCTTTCCTCACTTTGAAAGTGTCCACCACGGGCGTGATGATCCCTTCAATGGTTCCAAACATACTGCCCAGCCCCAGATTCACCAGCATGAGGAAGAACATCACTGACCAGAAGGGAGAGGCAGGGAAATGTGTCATCGCTTCTGTAAAGGCAATGAAGGCCAGCCCGGTCCCCTGAACAGCCTGTACAACACACAAAATAGCAACAGTAAGTAGTCGCTCTAAATGCAAGTGACAAAGGGGTAAAAAGACAAAAATGTGTGAATAATGGCCGGGAGCTACCGGAAATAAACATGCTGACATCAGCCTATGACCTGATAGGTCATGTTCTTATTCTCTGAACCAAGATCAATTAGGTCAAGTAGATCCAAATAATAAAACTTTCTTTAGAATTACTAAATGCAGCCCTCAACTGTACTGCGGACTCAGTATTTCACATAGAGCCTCATTTTCTAAAGCAAAACTAGTACCCTCTGTGCTACATAGAATATACGCTCTTCATATTCTCCTTATACATAATCCTTTATATCAAATAATAGTATTTTTGGTTCTGTTAAAAGTTATCAATGTGAATAGTAGTTTATTCGTACAGATATATTGATACAAATACATACACAACTATGTATGACTCATATATAAAGATGAAAAAAATGTTCAGTATTACCTTACCTCAAAGTAGCTTAATCCACCTTTTAGGGGTGGAACACTATTATGAGAGGGTCTTTATCAAACACAAGCAATCAGTGTAACCTGGTTCTTTGTACCCTCAATGAATTCCCAACAATAAAAAAAAAAAGAAAAAAGAAAGAAAAAGAAAATACAGACTGTGAAAAATAACCTTGTTTTATTTAAAAGAAAAATACTAATGCAAAATAAAAGCATGTGAATAGACTAACTAGATTATATAAAGTCAATTCTTAATATTAAAAATATACATTTATACTTACATTATTTCTACCTTTTAGCTAAGACAAGTTAGGCTGATATGCTAATTTTTATAATTCAAGAGGCACAATAAATTTCCAGCAAAAATTAATTTAAAAATGGATAAAAGATGGCGGCACCTGTGGCTCAAAGGCATAGGGTGCCAGCCCCATATGCCAGAAGTGGCAGGTTCAAACACAGCCCCGGCCAAAAACTGAAAAAAAAAAAAAATGTATAAAAAAGGAAGCACTCAAATTGAGCAGAACAGCACAATAAATTTCCAGTAAAAATTAATTTTAAAATGGATAAAAAAGGAAACATTCAAATTGAGCAGAACAGAATGGGATTACTAGCAAAAATTTTCATGAGTTTACTTTTATAAGCATCTCAAATACTAAGTTCTGAAATGATGACTTACTTTACCAAGGAACTGTACTGCTAATCACGCTTCAAGTCAGCTATACTATCTCATTAAGATCATAGATTTACCAAAATATCTTTAAAACCCACAAGCTTTGAAAGGCAAGGCAGTAATTAATGAAATATTTTGTATGAAATTCAAGATTTTTCATATTAATGATGATAGTATTCATAATTTCTTACATATGATTCTTCATGCTTAGTTTCCAGCATATTTAGCGATCTTAAAACATAAATGGCCAATTTCCAAATTACATTTTCCTTTTTGACAATGGTAATACAGGAGGCGGTGGCAGCCAACATAAGAACTTATTAATGTTCACTTATTTCTTGACTAACAAGACATGACAGTGGCTAAAAACAGAACTTGATCATAACTTTTTGAACACAGCTATTAAAATCAAATCAAATATTCTTCATGAATCAAAGCAATGATGCAATCCATGTATAAATGAGAGTCATAATTCAAATTCTGTATTAGACCAGGAAAACTATCAAACTAGTCATCATTCTATGACTGAAATAACTATATTTATATTCATATTTTAAATTGTTGTGAATCAATCAATGAAATCACTTTATAAAGTAAAATGAAGCATGTGAATTTTGACATCCCCCCCCCTTATTTTTTTTGGCTGGGGCTGGGTTTGAACCCACCACCTCTGGTTCCGGCACCCTACTCCTTTGAGCCATGGGTGCTGCCCAACATTCCTCACTTTTTTTAAAGTTTTTTTTATTAAATCATAGCTGTGTACATTAATGCAATCACAGGGTACAGTGTGGTGTTTTCTTTCTTTTTTTTTTTTTTTTAGAGACAGTCTTACTTTGTCACCCTCAGTAGAGTTCCATTGCATCACACAGTTCACAGCAACCTCTAACTCCTGGGCTTAGGCAATTCTCTTGCCTCAGCCTCCTGAGTAGCTGGGACTACAGGCACCTGCCAGAACGCCCGGCTATTTGTTTTTGTTGCAGTTTGGCTGGGGCCAGGTTTGAACCTGCCACCCTCGGTATATGGGGCCAGCACCCTACCAGTGTGGTGTTTTCATTTACATTTTGAAATACTCTCATCAAACTGGTTAACATAGCCTTCATGTCATTTTCTTAGTTATTGAGTTAAGACATTCATACTTGGCTTTTAGAAAGATTCACTTGTACCCTTGTAGGATAAACCATAGAGGTGACCCCTCCAATTACCCTGGAAAATGTTCTTCTTAGCAAAGTATCTCAAGAATGGAAGAAAAAGTATCCAATGTACACAGCCCTATTTTGAAACAGTCTCCATTTTTAAAGTTAATTTTGCTCAAAGAAAGCCGCTGGACTATGCATATTTTAACAGAGTGATAATTACTGTATTGCTCTAGCATGGTCTACTAACTTTATTCAGCTCATCTTCAATTTGACAGGAGTTGAGATGCAGCACCGGAAACTCCTCTTCTTTCACTTTTTGAAGGATGTCATAAACTAAGTGATAATCTTCCACAGTGACAGCTGAAAGGTTGATGTGATGCGGAACAATGTCCTGGCTAATGTTTCCCATTTTTAGAAATTTGATGATCATCTCTGAATTTCTGAAAAACACAACAACATGCGAATGAGCGCTTACGAGTCCTTTGGTGCATAACTACTCTACAGTCATGCCGTCGGAAGCTAATGAAGGCGGAGAAGTTCCCAGCACAAAGAAATGATGAATGTTTGAGTCGACAGATATCTAATGACACAGATCTGACCATCACATATTGTGTGCTTATGTTAAGGTAGCATATGTATCCCATAGATATGTACAGCTGCTAGGTATCCATACAAATTGTATATAATTAATTTAAAAAAAAACATTTTTTAAAACAAGGGGGAAAAACTAATGGAAATTAATATCCATACTGTGCCACGCATTTCTCATTTATGACATTTGCTTTGAATCCCAGAACTGCAAACACCACCAATGTTGCCAGGACAGAAGTGAAAAAATTGATGAAGGACACCAAGACAGCGTCAAAGTGGCAGTTGTTGTCTCTTTTGTTGTAGCTTGAAAAGGCAATGACGCCACCAAACCCCAGACCTAAGGCAAAGAACACCTGAGTGGCGGCTTCTCTCCAAACCTTGGGCTCCAGCATCATTTCAAGCTGTTTAAAAACAAACAGAACTGAAGTCAGTCGCAAGGTCGTATTTCTGCATAATTCATTTCTATAGAAGGAATCCCATTGTTTACACATATTAAAATGATGTGTATGTACCCATTGCTTATTTAAGCCTGAAGGATAATCTCTACTAAGCAGAAATAAACCTACATTTTTATTTCATTTCAGAAAGAATCCAGACAAATATGTACATGAGAAAGTCTATCAGGCTTCCCCGTGGACCTTTTAACTGCATGGATATTTTCTACTCATGCAGAAGTTTCTAAATATTTTAGGACAACTCATTGAACAACCGTGTGAAAGAGAAACTAATTATCTTTACTTATTTTCCATTATACCATTTATTACAAAGCAAAATCAATCAGTTACCAATACAAGTTCAATAATCACTCATATTTGACGTTTAGGTTTTCTAGTGTCCAACTATGGCTGAAAGAGGTAGCTCTTGGGAACTGGGTAGAGTCCATCTGTTTGTACATTGCATACTGACACATGTATTATACATTTATTCAAAAGTTTGCTGAAAGTCCTCTCTTTAAAAGCACAGGAAACGTAGCTATATTATCTGTAAGCTACCCTTTCAGATCCAAAGCGTTAAGGTAGCACATCTGTGCTAACTGCGTATTTCGAGTAAGATGGTTTGCATTTTAGATAATTATCTCTGTATATAATTAAAGCTTTTAACTAAAACATGAGTCACTACTGACACTGAACTCAGTAAACAGTTTAGTCCAATTTCAGGAATAATAGTGTTTAAATTGGCATTTTATCTCTTTTCACCACGACAATCACCTTTGTGGGGAGCAATGTCAAACACGGCTAAGAACACAAGTTCCACAGAGAGTTTCAGATCTTGGTTCTGCCAATTAACAGTTTAAAAATAGTGCAACCTAGGGAAAATCGTATGCCCTCCCTGACTTTCAGCGTCCTCCACAGAAAGACAGAAGAGAAGTAACAGTAATGTGTTGCTTCCACAGTGCCTGCCATAATCGAAGTGCTCAATAATTGATAACGCATATGATTGATAGTGACAGACACACTGATAAGCACCGTATGTGGTTTTCTCATGAAATAGTCACACTGACCCATGAAGTTGTTGGGGCTATTAACTGAGTCTTAGAAAAGTTAAGAAACACGCCTAAGGTCATACAATACGTCTGGTGGAGAAATACGAACAAGTGTGGATTCCAAAATCCATGTTCTCTCAAATATTAGAATTTACTGCTTCAATTAACTTTAGGTATAATTAAAATACACTAAGTATTCTATGAAGCATAATCATACTTATCTTTATAATGTATGAACAAGTAACCGAGATATTTATATTGTATATTGATAACTGCTACATTTTCATTCTATGACCCATGCTGATCTGGAAAATACACTCAAGTGTCTATCTTTACTTTATCCACTAGATGGCAGAAAACACCTATTTACTAGCGAGATTGGCTGGATTACCAGTAGTTTTAATTTCTGAATTAAATCTCCATGCACTGGCTGTTTCAGGAGTATCTGGAGTGCTTAGACACTTTCTCCCCTCCATAAACAATTAAAAAGTAATTTACAACTTTTTTCATTACTATATTAGCTATCATGTTCTACAGTGATCTAACAAAGCATGTCAACTGTCAATAAAAAGTGAGCTAAAGAAAAAAATACCTTTTTATTTCATTAAATTTTTGTAGAGAGAGGATCTCACTACATTGTCTCAAAATCCTGGCCTCAAAGGATCCTCCAACCTTGACCTCTCAGGGTGCTGGAATTACAGACATGAGCCATCATGCCTGCCTTAAAAAAATAATATTTTAATAATGAACCAGGCCAGGTAAGGTATAACTAATCAAAAATATGAATTTATACTGCAGTGTTAAGTACTCAAGCCATAAAAATGATTACTACTTACCCTAAATATCTAGTTGAATTAAATATTCACCACTTCAGAAAGGGAACACTACATATATTCCAGAAATTCACAAATAATTTGGTTGTTTTGAACTCTGAAAATATTTTTTTCAATATTATAAATATATTTCGGCCATTAAGTATGGCTTATGTGAAGCAGATTTAAATGAATAAACATGGCCAAGACTTATAAATCTTAACTCTTTCTTTGCTGAGGAGAAGCTCCAGCAACTTAAATGTTCAACGGGACTTTTGAAGTGAGAAAACCAGACGCCACTGTCAGCATTTTTTGCTCTGACGGAATGAATACCAGCTCCAAACCAGACATGCAAAGAACACAGCTTCTTTTGCGCAGTGTCAACGCAGCCGCCAGAAGGGACAAAAAAATTCCGAAGAAGCTAATCCCGTCTGTCCAAATCTCACAATGCTGGCTGCGCATTCATCCTTCCGAGAACTCCCTGTTTCTAATTATGAAATTATCTTTATGTCTGCCCGTGATGGTAGGAGCGAACTAATGGTGATGTGTGTCTTCACTGTAGTGAGTAACAAAAAAAAATGCCTACACCTCGAAACTTATTTTTGTTTCCTGTTAAATCAATATGACAAGTTACAATGAAGTCGACCTTTAGGCTAAACCAGTTTTAATGTGCCCAGGGTTGAGCTGAGCCCTACTGAGTTGAAAGACAGAATGTAAGTTTCCAGCCCTCCCTGAACTCTAACAGAAAAGTTCCTAAAATGGATCTACATCTATAAAGTTACAGAACTACCCAAAAGGATCACTGTAAATATTATTCCAGTAAGGTGTAAGACCTCAAAACCAAACTAAAATAAGAAAACATTTATTTTTTCTGCAATACTATTTTATAATACAGTAGAGGTCTTAGCCTGGGTCCATGGATTTTCAATAATCTGTGAAACTCCTGAGACACTACACACATTAATATATCCATTTACTCTTTCTCTGGTAAGGACATCCGATTGTCGATCTTTTAAAGGAGTTAAGAACCTCTGAAATGGAGGGGAAAAGTAAACAAAGACTGCAAAGTTCTCAGATGTAACGTGTGTAAAAACTGGGAGTTAATTTATTTTAAAAGAGGAAATTTTGAAGTTGAATTACTGACAGTTTTACTCTAAAGCCAAGAGGGAACGTTTAAAAGTGGAGATAGATGGACACAAGTTTTATATGTAGGAAAGCTCTGTTTTTTTTAAGTCGGCTAACATAACTTACAAGTTTAATGCACGTATGACAGTTAGCTCTGACTCTAACAGGAGGAACACTTCAACAACAAACAAAAGGCTTTCATGATCTTAGAAGCAGGGCACAGACCTTAGGGGTAAACATGTGGCGGATGCCGTCAATGGAGCCATTTAGAAGGAGTGCTCTGATTAGGAAGCAAACAAGCACCACATATGGGAACAGAGAGCTGAAATACATGATCTGCAAAAAAAGAAAAAGAAAATCAGTGAGACACTGTGGCAACTTTCATTTTTCCTTTATAGTTAAGATTACGCATGTTCTACTCTGTTCCTTGACAGTCACTGTTTTTAAATTATGATTAATAACACTGTTAATAACTCCTAAAGCCATCTTTTAAGAGTGACTGGTTAGGCTTGATTTAGTATTATTTAAGATCCTATTGGAGGTGGAATGAAAAATAAGAAAATTTAATTTAATCTCCTTTGAAATAATCCACAGGTATGATGTAGCTTGAATAGTTTGATCCCTTACAGTTCATAAACCAGCAATATTTACAACAGCAATATACTGGCAGTAACTAACTCCTCAAAACACTCCTATTCTTATTGTTTTAAGTAGCCAAAACAAAGTCCCTTTTTTTTTTCTTTTAACTGAAGTTGTGATTCTATAAACCTTCTACAGGGTATTCCCTATGCTAAATTTCCTCCTGAGCAATTAACCACATGAAGGTTTTGCCTGTGGCTTCATCAGATTTTTCCATCAAATTAAACAGTTTGGAAGATATCTGTCGTAGAAAAGGAACTGTCCCACCTAGACATTAACTGTCTCCTTGACATGTTCGTATGGATGCATAATAGGTATCTAATATTTCTTCTTGTATTTATATTTTTCTATACTTAAGCAACTCTAACCTATCCTAAAGATGTCCCTGTTTCCCGTATCCCAAAAGCCAACTCATCACGCGAAGCCAAATTGATTCTACCAAAGAAATCTCACATTGGTCCCATTGTGGCCACCCTCAATTACACATCACTTTTCACCATGAAAATAGCCTCCTGCTCATCTTGCCTCCAGATTCTGTCAGCTTTCCTTTACATCCCAGAAATTCATTATCCACACTACAGCTAGTGTGATCTCTCTGGAGTACAATGTACTCAATTCTAATATGAGGGCAGTAGATGACCTAATACCAAGTGGGGGGAGGGCAATGAGGAATGGGGTGAGGGGAGGCGGAAGGGGATGGGGGAACACTGTCTGGCACACCTCCTGGGAGCAGGACACAATTACAAGAGGGACTTTAACAAGCTCAGTCAGTGTAACCTAATTCTCTATACCCTCAATGAATACCAAACAATAAAGAAAAAGATCTGGTGGTGTCACTGAACTACTAAAAATCCTCAAATGTTCCACTCTGAGTGCCAGGTGACAGTCCAACCTTTACACGAGTGTCCTTTGATTTCTGCAGTTAACTTACACATCCCACCAGCTGCACAAATGGCAGATAAACGTCGGAGTATTCAGCAATCACAGAGCTTTGCACCTGTTGTTTTCTGTGCTTTCAATATTCTCTCTCTGGAATTTTTGGAGAACTCCTTCTTCCCAACCATCAAAGCCCAGACAAAGTTCTCTCTCCTGTTAAGGCTTCATCTAAACCCAGGTTAATATTAATCCCTGCCTCTCTGCTATCATGCACTTATTATATGCCTCTGTCACGTGATAGGCCACATCCACTTGATAAGTTGAATTATCTGTATTTCCCATTAGATTATGGCTTCCATGAGGACAAAGACCATGGTCTATCCATCAGTGCATGAGATATCATAGATATTCAACAATATCATATATGAAGGGAGGAGTTACAAACATTTGTTCTCCTTCCTATACATATTCCCTAAAAAATTATTCTATAGTATTTTAAAATTTATATCCTAATTATTTAATCATACTTAATTCCATTTTCATGATCACGTCAGCAAATACTTGACTTCTTAAAGACACTGATCTGGATTCAGTGGAATAAAATATTCCAATCACGTAACATGGAGAAAAATGACAGTTAAGATTGGAACCATGAAAAGTGGTTATGAGAAGGTCACAGCCCAATTTTATTCTATGCACAGGAAAAAGGACAAAATAAATTACTGAATTCCAACATTTAAAAAGATACGTCTTGAAACTCACCATTTTATAGACTTATCTGTGCTGTTTCGAAACACAAACTCTTTGCATTTATTTATATGGCTGCAATCTTATTATACCAAAACAGTCAATATTAAAAGTGGGTTAATTTGAACCTAACTGGCTATATGTACCCCAAACACTTTCTCCTTAGCACACTTTATTTTATGTCATTCTACTTGTAATTATTCTATGAGTCAGTTTTTCATTTGCTGCTTCTGCCATTGAGATAGAAACACCATAAGAACAGCCCTATCCACCTTGTACATTGCTCTACATAAAGAACCAAAAGGTTTATTATAAACATACCTTCAGAAAAACGCATTCTTTTTTTTTTTTTTTTTGCAGTTTTTGGTGGGGGCTGGGTTTGAACCCGCCACCTCTGGCATATGGGGCTGGCGCTGCCCCAAACTCATTCTTTTTGAGGATTTCGTAGCCCAGCTTTATCTCTGCTTGTCATTCATGAGTTGTTTAATTCGGCCAATTATTTACTTTTCTTAAGAGTGTCAACTTTATATAAAAATGGGGATAAAATATGCAAATCATCCGCCTGATATAAATATTAAACAAGCTAACATATGCAAAGTACTTAAAACCACAGAAGTAACAATGGGAAACTATGATTAGTATTAGTAGAAAATATGACTTAGAGAGTTAGAAGCAAGCTAAGAGCTCCTCATGTCCAGCCGTCACCTGCAGGCGGGCATCCCCTTAAGAGATGGGGTAGGAAAGGGACTTGCCTGCTCTGCCTGACCACCCTGGGTGACGCCGAGTCTTCCCCACTGGGGCAAATCATTTCATGGTTTCTGGTTTGATCCCTGAAAGGCATCGTTTTCCTTGAAGATTTACCACCATCCCACCACCCACCATGATCCCCAATATTTGATATAGTTCTGTTTTCATTAGATACACAGAACAGCCTTGTTCTTTTGATTCACCCATTTGAAGATCATGGTCAAGGGGCTGAGATTTCTCTTCTTTATAATAAAGCAGGTAGTAAGCAAATTCAGTAAAATCGGTCCATGTGGCCCAACTGAGATGTGTCCTAGTTCATAGGGCAATCACACTACCTGACTCCTCTTTTAATTCATGGAGTCCCCAGTTAGCATTTCGATGGAGGGTTTGCATGGAATTTCTATGCGTGTGTGTGTTGACCAAGTACATCATAAGTTGATTGATTGACTCACATTCCTTGTATAGCTGCTAAGTCTCTTCAGATGTCTATACACACAGTAGCCTGAAGTTGTATTTCTCTATCCTGTACTTGTCTGACTGTTTGTGTGGAGGCATTTTTGTTTGGTAGGCAAATGTAGCTTATTGTTCGTAAATCCCCTATCGTGTTTAGTGCATTCTTTAGACTGAGGGATGGTGATAATTTAGACTGCCTGTCTTTGTTCACGTCGCTTACCGCCAGCTTTCTCCTCATCTACACCTATTTTCTTCCTTCAAATTCTGCTGAAATGCTGCTCTCTTCCTAAAATATTCTCATTGAAATAACACATTTTACATACGACGTAAGTTGTATGACATTTTTCTAGATAAGGTCATATTACACCACATGAGAATAGCAAGCCCAAGATGGTATAGTAAAAATAGGATGCATAATTCTTTAAGTAATGATAAGACACAGACTAAGAAGAAACAAAACATGACAGTCAGATCCGCTGAGTGTAAGAAGGGGTTGAACTCTTCTGGCTGGCTCACCGTTGGTTCCCTTTCTACCAAATGACATTATCTAGAGACTCATATACATGTGCTAGGTCTGGTTTAAGAATCTATTCCTTTATTTATAAACGAACTATAATGTGAAAACATAGTAGAAGACACAGCCCGTTATACCAAATGACTGAAGTTATCTGCTTATGTAACACAGTAACACTTTCCAAAGATTTAAAGATAATCAGAAGCGTTATCTCTCATATTCACTTCTTCAAAAGTAAAAATGATACTTTCCACTAGGAAGCAAATATAAGATCAGCCACAATCTTCAAGCTAAAAAAATCATCAAAGATTTTTAATTAAATATGAAGCAACAGGAAACAGAGGTGAATTAGACAGACTTCTGCACTCTTTTGATGTGAGCAGAAGTGATGTGAGCATGATGGTAAGTGATACTGTGGAGTTGCGGTACCTGAACATGGGCTCTGCATTGAGACAGGCTGCAGAACTAGGACTGACCGACCATGAGGCTTCGGATGAACTTCCCAATTTCTCAAACGTGTTCTTTTACACATCTATAAAATAGGCCTCAAAAGGTCAATTACCTTTTACTGTTGTTTATAGAATAAATCGGATAAAGTACATAAAGCACTTATAGCAGTGCCTAGAGAAGAATAAATATGTAATAAATATCAGCTTCCATTATTGTTCTCGGTCTAGCCATTGTCAGGACCATCTTTATCTTTTCTTTTTTTTTTTAGATGGAGTCTCACTATATCAACCTCGGTAGTGTGCTGTTGCATCACAGCTCACAGCAACCTCAAACTCTTAGGTTAAGTGATTCTCTTGCCTCAGCCTCCCAGGTAGCTGGGACTATAGAGCCCCACCACAACACCTGGATATTTTTTTGTTGCAGTTGTTTAGCTGGCCTGGCTCAGGTTCGTACCCGCCACCCTCAGTGTATGTGGCCGGTGCTGTAACCACGGTGCTGTGGGTGCTAAGCCCCCATCTATATCATTTCCTGTTCTTCCTAACCTTACTGCTATTCTACTACTACCACCCCAGCTAGCATATGACGGTGAGTGGTAATAAGTCGACCTGAAAAGATACCTGATCAGAGCTATGCTTTGGAAAGAAAAACAGCAGAGATGAATGGTTCAGAGACGGAGTGCAGAACAGACACGAACCTCTGTGATGATTCAGCAAAGACATGCAGAGAGCTTTAAAACAGTGGCAGTGATAATGGAGGGAAATCAAAATGAAAGCAAAATAGTGCATAGGTGTTACTTTCCTAACACATCCTTTAATAAAACGACAAACCAAGGTCCCTAAAATTCATTTAATATCTTTTTCAACTACAGCCTTTTTAATGTTCAGTTTTCCTTAGCAGAGATGATCTTAGTCTTTTGCATCACTCTGAGTTCCTGTTAGGATTTTCATCACCACATAATGATGTTAGGAGCTTTAAGAAACACAGCATGCATAGGCTATATTAAAATTCTTTATGCAACTGTTCCTTAAAATACCTACAGCAGAGGGCAATGAGTAGGATAAAATAAACAAAACGAATAGACTCTTTATTCTACCACTTTTCTTACTTTCCATAATTGCAACTAAAGACAGAAAAACTCAAACAGTAGAGTGAACTGAATAAACAGTAAAAAGAAAAGACTTTTAAGTATTGGCAAAAATTTTAAAGATCTTGTTGAGATAAGCAAAGATTATAAATGACATTAGATTTTACTGTAAGGCAATTATGTCTTTATTTATGACTTTTTCTTAATTTTAACACATTTTTAAAAGCATCACTTTTCACCAATCTTTAATTAAGTACCTAGAATGAAGTGTTACATGCACTTTGCCCCCAGAAATTCGCAGTAGAAACTGAGGGAGGGACGTTCATTCACAGGAATGGGGATTAGCAGAATGGACAGGGCTCTAACATACTAACTTTTCCAGAAGACTGGATGCCTTTGATCATAGCCAAGCAAACCATGACCCAGGCAGCCAGCAAGCAGACCGTCATCTTCCAGTTCAAGCCTCCACTTTCAGCAATGGAACTGGAAATGTTCAGCGCCTCTCTGTACCAGTAATAGGTCGTGGCAGAACTTTTTTCACATTCTGGTTCTACGACTATAGAAAGAAAGGTAACACGCAATCATTTCAGACTAAAAAGAGCGATAAGATAATTCTTAACATTTCCTAGAAAACTACCACCATTCTACAACAGGCTGTAAATTCAGAATGAAGTATGAAAAGATCAACTATGCAAACATTTGAAAACACAACATACTGTATATCCTCCTTGATATTTCTTATCATTCGTTTCTGGGGTAAGAATATGTGAGCTGCTTATCAAATTAAATTTTTAATTTTTTTTTTTTTTTAAGAGACAGAGTCTCACTTTGTCACCCTCGGTAGAGTGCCCTGGCGTCACAGCTCACAGCAACCTCCAACTCCTGGGCCTCAGCCTCCCGAGTAGCTGGGACCACAGGCACTTGCCACAATGCCCGGCTATTTTTTGTTGCAGTTTGGCTGGGGCGAAACTGGTGGTGAACCCGCCACCCTCAGTATATGGGGCAGGCGCCCTACTCACTGAGCTACAGGTGCTGCCCTATCAAAGTCATTTTTTAAAAAAACAGGTTTATCCCCCTTCCCATCCAGGCTCCTTGAGATAGCCCTGTCAAATAAGCCACCTGCTTACCACATGCAGCTTTGAAGTGGGGCTATTCTAAAGTGTTATGTGCTACACATGTGAAATTCAAAGTGGATTTCAGCTTTAGGACAAGAAAAATAACGTAATTTAATGCATTAAGAATGTTTATAGTAACTGTATTTTAAAATAATATTTTTGTTATGTTAGATTAAGTATTCCACTGGCTTCTTTTTATTTTTCTGCATGTCTACTAGAAAAATTTAAACTACACACTGAGCTGCATTCTGTGTTTATTGGACATCACTACTATAAGGAAACTTTTTATTTGCATTATAGAATTTTTTTAATGATGAGGAAACTGTAAAGCAACAGAACCAAAGACATAAAAGCAATTCTTTTCATTCAGATTCTTCTTTGGATGACTTTTTGTTGGCTTTAATGAAAATGTAAGGCATCAGTAAGGGAGTACAAAACACTGTCAAATCTAGTAACTAAAGACTTTCAATATTTTACCCTGGTCTCATATGGCAAAATAAAGTGACTTGAAGAGAAGTGGAAAAATGAGATGGCCCCCAAAGTCTTATATTTCAGAGAACGCCAATCCTAAAAGTGAGGAGAGTCTGTTATGACAATAACTTTGAATGATTTTTCCTGATATCGCTGAAATAATTCTTGAAAGCTTGTGCTTTTACTCTTCAGATGATCTTTAAATACAAACAAAACAAAATAAATCACAGAACTACATTTTCCACATCTTACAGGTATGCGAAGCGTTTTTCACCAAAGGACACTGATCCCACGGTAGGGGTTGCTGAAAAGACTGAGAAAAATAAAACAAGCTCCAGCCAATGATGACGTTGTAGTAGAGAGCCACGAAGAAGCACACCTGCAAAATAAAACAGGCGCCCATTACACCCCTCAGGTTTTTTCATTTATAACAATGAGACGAAACGCATAAGGATCCACTTCACGTTTTTTAAATCCTCATTTGTTTTAGTTAAACATATTATTTTTCCTTAAAAGGTGATGTCTCTGGGGGGCCTTCGAACACGCATTACCAAGAGTGTGCTGTATCAATATTTACAGCTTGTTTTGGGTATTAGTCCAGACTCCAGTCGTGTTTTTTGAAATACGGTTAAACAGGTGCATAGAAACACATACTCAGAGGTTTTACTTAAACGTGAATCGTATCACTGCAAACCCTGTAAAGATTATAAACATACCCCCCCACCCCTACCAAGGAACTTACTACGCAGCTTGCGAATCCAATCCCACCCAGTTTAGGGCTTATGTAATTCCATACGCCGATGCTGCCGCGCCGAATTCTTTGACCCACGGAAAGTTCCAGGAAAAAAAGGGGAATACCTATTACCAGAAGCAGTATTAAATACGGTAAAAGATACGCACCTGCAGAAATGAGGATAAAATAGGTTACGTTTTTAATAGTTACGGTAGAGATTACATTTATTTGGATTATATCATTAAAAGATCATATTTAAGTTTCTGTATGACATATAGAAACTATTAGTAGAACAATATAATTACAGAGAATTGTAAAGAAAATGCAACTTCATTATTTTAAACTTGAAACTTGAATTTGACTGCTACAAGAGTTTCTGATAATCATAATTATGATAAAAGAATAAAATTAAATAGTTTTACGTTAATTTGATTGAAAGACCAAAATGGCTTCATTTTTCATAGAAATATTTGATTCTTTCACTTAATTATTTGGCTCAGTGCCTGTAGCTCAATGAGTAGGGCAACAGCCACATACACTGAGGCTGGTGGGTCTGAGCCCAGCCCGGGCCTGCTAAACAACAATGACAACTATAACAACTAGTAGACAATAGCTGGTAGTTGTGGTGAGTCCCTGTATTTCCGGGTACTTGGGAGGCTGAGGCAAAATAATTACTTAAGCCCAAGTTTGAAGTTGCTGTGAGCTATGATGCCATGGTACTGTATAGTGAGACAAAAAAAAAATTACTATTTTCAGAAGTAGGTTTTACAAACTCCCTAGAAATATTATTTACACAATGGTTATAAAGTTATTTTCAAAATTTTATCTCAACTCACTGAAATCACACATTCTAAATATGATAAATTAAAATGAATGAGTTTTTATGGTATTAATGTGGACTTTTTTTCCTACATAAAATGCCATCATGGGAGAAGAAATAGCTGCCAACCCTGAAAAAGAAAATAAAGCAAAATAACTTCTACCAAAGGCACATGTCATTTTTCCTACATATAAAAAGTACATTTAATGAATCATAATATTATTTGTTTTCCAACATTCTGAGAAAAGGTGGTAAAATCGATTGATATTAATTAAAATTAATGTTTAATGGCTATTATAAATATATATGTCATATTATCCTTATAATAAAGTTTCAATATTAGAAAATAATTTTAAGCTAAATCACAAATGAAGACATGTAAGTAGTTATTTAAAAAATAAACCTTAATAGCTCAACAAAGTTAATATTAAATTATACTACTTAGATATAAAAGATAAGTATAAAACCTGTATTTATTTCTACCATGAAAATTCATATGCAAATTATTATTAAACAACCTCTGAACTAAGCTTCCTACATTCAGGTTTTTAATCTGGAGTTTTGTTCAACTAGATACTGTTATGTGTAGCAGTTTTAAGTAACTGATGGTACTAATTCTCTTTTTTTGTAACAAACCATTTATTATCCTTGCCCTACTTTAAAAGTGTTTAATTACATTGAGTAGATTTTGGAAGCTATTCAAATTGTTTTGGTAGCTTTTCATCTACAGAAATCACTAGTCCTAGATTTTTTCAAATTATTTATCTCAGTATCTATATATCTTTATAGCAATGACTGTGTGTAAGAATCTCCCTTCAAGAGTAGTTGATACATAATCCCATTTTCTTATGGCTGATCTTCAGTCTTTCCTACTTAGTTGGTTCTACAAAAGTGTATGTCATATAAACTATTAATGCATGAGCTTGTAAAAGAAAACTATTGAAATTCTAATTCTAAAATGATTAGTAACATTCAGGAACTGCTGACCTGAAAGTGTTTTCCAATGACTGACACTGAATGTTGATACTTACATCAAATCTTAGAGTATGAATGGGGTGTATGTGTGCATGTCAAGGACTAAGGAACAAGAGAGAGACAGAATTAAGACCGGAGTCACTGGAGATTCTTCTTCAGCGACATGGGCAATGACTGACGTGCTACTGGACATTAGCCTTTTCTTCTAACTTGAATTACTTAAACATTAGTCTCCATATTAAAAACAGTCCTAGCTAAAATAAAACTGAACATTTACCATTTTCCAGGACATATTACATATAATTATTTGTTTATAAGACTCTGGTGAAACAAGTACAATTGCTAACTCTATGGCTATGAAAAGTAGTCCTGAAGAAGCGAGGCAACTTGTGAAAGGTCGCATGGTGGTGGGAAGAGTCAGGCTTCAAGTCGACTCCAAAACCTGACCCGGTAGCCTCTACGCTATGGCACTTGTTAAACTTAATAATTGTAAGTATCATGTCTTTAAGTGTAATCATGTAAGTATCATGTCTTTAGACATAATCAACTTATATTTACTCAATTAGTTTTGTTTATTTTTTAAAAAAGTGCTTCAAAATTGTTCTTGCTAAAACTAAATATAAAATCCTGTATTGCTCTCCACCAAAACAGAAATGGTACTAAGTGAAAGTCAATCTGACTTTTCAGATTGACAGCACAGCCTTCTTCCTAAACAGTATGGCCGGTAGGGCTGTTAGTTAATTTAACTTTGGGTTTGATTCTGATGTAATATGGAACTAGTGTTGTACATGAACAATTTATATTTTTGTATAGATTTTTTTTCCCTAGATTTTTAGGATACTTTTTGCTAAATAAGCTTGGCAATTACATGCACAAATACAAGCAAGAAAAACAATGATGGTACAGACATTTTGGCTTAAAATTAAGGATGCTAATTTCTTCAAAATTTTCTTTGAAATAGAACATGGTCCCAACATACTACAGCATTTGAAAACTATAATAATTCTCAATTACATGGAAATTTCTGCTTTTCAGGAAAAGTGAGGCAACTTAAAATTGAGTTAATTAATCATCTGTCTTCCTTCACCAGCACTGTCCTATACTAGGGGCTTGAGGTTATTCTTTAAATGGAATAACTGGCACAAAGGATGCAACATTTGTTAGAAAAGTTCCAGTCAGTAATTCAGAGATGATTCTAACACTCACAGAAGAATCTGAGAATGTGCTACTCCTAAGCAATCCCTGAGTACTCGTAGCAGGCCAATCTGCTCCTATGGAAACCTAATCTGAAAACAGAGCTGGGCTCACTTCCCACAAACGAGTCTCCCTAGTTTCACAATGGAATTCATAGTTTCGAAATTAAGAGTCCACCACAACAATAGGAGCTATTTGAGAAAATCAGTTTGCAATTTACTACAGTAATTTATCACTTAAAAAAAAAAACATAAACAAAGAAACAACTTACCACCCCCATTCTTCTGACACAGGTAGGGGAATCGCCACACATTCCCTAAACCTACGGAAAATCCAACTTGGGCCAGGATGTACTGTACTTTACTGTTCCAAGCTGGTCTTTCATCTTCAACTTCAGATTCTTCTTCAATATCTATATCTTTCTCCTCTTGGACATCAACGATTAGTTCACTCTTTTTAAAGGCATCATCAGCTGAGTCTTCATTGGAAAGAAGGTCTTTGACGGACTCAATAACCTCATCGTCTAACTCTCTTTTTACTACCTTGCTATTCTTAGGCATTGGAAAGTATGGAAAGTATTATTTTTAAAAACTGTCTTTTGGCAAATATTAGTTCTTTTTTTAAAAGAAAAAAAAATGTCACTTGGGATGAAGTAAAGACCGAGGATGATACCAAGTAAATTCCTGATTCAAGGTGATAAAGTCTTATGGGTCCTGGGTCTGTATGTCCACTGTTCTGTAGATACCTGTAAAATAAGATGAAATGTGACAATATTTAATGATGAAAAATATTTAAAATACTGAATCATCTTTTCTTGTTCATTTTTATGATGTACAAGGATCCCTTTCTAGAGAGTATGAAACATACGATTGGTTTTTGGTCTTAATATTAACATGAGTTTAACTTAACTTAAAGAGTTTAAGTTAACTTTGGTTTTAACTCTTAATATAAGAGTTTAATATTTCCAGAAGAAAAGGTAAGAAACATAAAGCCCATATTAATTTTCACACACATTTTGGCCTTCTTTCAAAAATCTCATACTCCAGTGTGTAACGTATACTTTGTTCATTAGTAATTAAAATTTTGTAACTCTTCTTAATTCTTTTGTTTCCCTGACTGAAGTAGATCTTTTATTATACATCCCTTATTTTGTTCCTCACAGAATTATGTACACAACTGCATGCCAACACTGTAAACGTGTCTTGTACATAATCTCTTCCACTCAGGTATCATCCACTCACTCATCCAATTAATTGTGATGGACCTTCTGGAATACAATCATAGTAAATCTCATGTTATATGCTTTTAAGAATCCTGTGTCTAAAATAACAATTGTGTATCTTTTAAGAAGTCTTACTTTCAACTACAGAAGAACTTATTAGTTTGGAAGAGTCTACTTCATTGTGCCACATTGAAATATTACAATAAAACATTGTGATTATAGCACTATATTGTTATAAACCTAAAAATGAGTGACATTCAATTGTACTTTGTTGGTTTATCTGATAATACCATAGAATGGTAAGTGGGTAAGCATTCCTGGAATACATTTTTATAAAGTCCTATTAGCCTCAGGAAAATTAAGCTGAGACTAAACAGGGGGAGGATTACAAGATAAATAAAAAATAACCTTTGTTGTCAAATAACCTCTGTCCTAAAATCATGAACTTGAAATTTGTGCTGTATACAAACTAGTTGTGGGAATTTGGGCAGTGTTCTCAATTTGTTTGTGACTCAGTTGCTTTAACTGAATTTAAAAAAAAAGAATCCTGTGTCTAACAGAGAAGATGATATATCTACAATAACTATACTACACTGCAGAATTTAAATGACCCCACATAGGAAATATCAGTAATGTTAGATAAAATTAGAATTGTGACGAAAAGTAGTGAGGCTACACTAAATACCAGGACATTATAAATGAGGCAGTACATGGGGAAAAAGTCACAAGGTATATATGAACGTTCTCCTAAGCAACTCAACCAAACACTGCCATCACTTTTTAGATTTTCCCTCCTTTTGTTAGTGTGTAAAATCTTCTATTCTTTTTTCCTATGCAGACACTGACCAAGTAAATGGACAATGCATGTCTACAGACCAAAGGCAATGTCTCCTTTAAAAAATGACTAAACATGGTAAGTACTTCTCCCCCAAGCTGGACTGAGAAGCTTTCGAAATTTTAACCTAAGCATTCTGCTATTTATTGCTATAACAAAAAGGAATTTATTGATAGAACTGCTATTAAATTTACATGAAAGTAAAGGAAAACAGCTGTCATACTTCAAGCTGTAACATGAGCAGGACCGTGCTGGGTAAGACATGAAAAAAATATTTAATTTATCTATGTAACTAATTACTTTGTTGCAATTAGGTCTGGATGATGTATAGTTGTTTGCAAAATTATAATATATACGCTAAGAGAAAACATACACTTATGCAGGGTTTGTTACAGTTAAGAGGAAACTGAAGGTAAATTGGGAAGAGACGCATTCCCAAATGAATAATAGACAGATGTATCTCTAGAATAAGTGAAAAACTTCTCGCAGTGATTATTTTAAGGAAGCCAACAAGGTTTTGATGTGAAAATATTCATAAAGTTTAATATTGTGTCTGCTTAATTTGTATTATTTTCCTTCACAGCTCAGCATGTATTAGTTGAATAAATGAATAAATGCAATGATTAAAAAACTATAGTAAGTTATTATTTTTTTTTTGAGACAGAGCCTCAAGCTGTCGCCTGGGTAGAGTGCTGTGGCATCACAGCTCACAGCAACCTCCAACTCCTGGGCTCAAGCAAGTCTCCTGCCTCAGCCTCCCAAGTAGCTGGGACCACAGGCGCCCACCACAACGCCTGGCCATTTTTTGGTTGCAGCCGTCATTGTCGTTTGGCGGGCCCCAGGCTGGATTCGAACCTGCCACCTTAGGTGTATGTGGCTGGCGCCTTAGCCGCTTGAGCCACAGGCACCAAGCCAATAAGTTAATATTTTAAAATAATTCCTGCTTGAAGAAAACAACCTGACTTTGAGAAACTGTGTATTGTGAGACATGAATTATCCAGATTAATCTAAATTTATTGAATTATCTAAAGATGAATGTCCTTGGCATAATGACATGTGATAAATGGGTCACAGCATTGATTTTAGTCCAAAAAACTTGGAAGTTGTGTCCTACCTCTGTTATTTATTAACTGTGCAACTGCTGGTAGTTATACCTTCCCTTACCTCAATTTCCATAATAAACATGGTCTCTTATTCATTTTTTATGCAAATATACAGGGTAAGACTATCTTAGTTTAGAGATATTATTAATATTACAACAAAATATTCATCTTTTATTTAAAAAAAGTTTTTTTGAACTGTCTTAATGATGAACCTACCTCAAATCAATTATCACAGAAATTGGATCTCTTCTATACATTTTTGCACTTTCAGGCAAAAATACACAAAAATACCCGAAATGAAAAATACCACCTTTGGATACTACCACGTTTTTACATATCAAATGAATAATCATCATCAATGTATATAAATTTTACATAACGTATAAATTTATATTGGAAAACTTTATACTTAAAAATTCTGATCAGACTACGGAAAGGTCATTATTTTCTATTTCAAAAAACCAGTACCTAATGTAAACAAAATTTAAATGCAATATCATAAATAAATATACATAAATGCACACACTCATACATATCTAACAACCCCAAGAAACCTTTATCCAATTTAAATAAATCTATTAAAAAGAGAGTTTAAATGTTTTTGCATAAATTAATTCAATCCCCCTCAAAATGGGATGCCACATTAATATTATAAGTAAAATAATTTAAACTCCCCTTTCTAGTCTGTTCCTTACCCTCTTTTACTTCCTGATCTTTTCTGCAGTAGTTTTCAGAAGCTATGGGAAGGGAATATATTGGGGAATTTTCACAATAACGTGTAATAAAAAAATGTCATTGCTTAGCGAATAACTTTGTGTATCTATCTCACTCTTAGAGTCTCAATGTTTAAATTTCTCTATCAAATGAATGAACCAAAATAAATTTAAAAGAAAATTTGCTATAACTAAACATCTACATATACATCTATGTGTGTGTGTGCATAAATATAGTTTTTGTTTGTCATTTTCCCCCAAGACCCTGTACCCACTGATCAGGGACATTTGCTTCAAGCACACAAGCTTCCTGTAGCCAAAAGTAAAAAGATATATTGGGTTTCTCATGAGATTTGTAAAAACTAAGTATAGAGACAACAATTTGGAAGCCAAATCAATTTCAAATTTTCAAGATCTGCCTTTCTTTTTTTTTTTTTTTTTTTTTTTTGAGACGGAGCCTCAAGCTATCCCCCTGGGTAGAGTGCCATGGCATCATGCTCACAGCAACCTCCAACTCCTGGGCTCAAGCGAGTCTCCTGCCTCAGCCTCCCAAGTAGCTGGGACTACAGGCGCCCGCCACCACGCCTGGCCATTTTTTGGTTGCAGCCATTATTGTTTGGCGGGCCCGGGCTGGGGATTCGAACCCGCCACCTTAGGTGTATGTGGCTGGCGCCTTAGCGGCTTGAGCCACAGGCGCCGAGCCAAGATCTGCCTTTCTTGAAAGATGACATTTGAATGAATTTAGAAATCTTGCCTAAATAATTTAGTCCATGGGTGTAGGCCATAAACAAACGGAGAGAGGGTGAGAAATGAGCCTGACTGTTGCCAGAATGTATTGCAATTGCTGTATCTGGGAACAGAAAAAGAAAGGAAGCAGGAATGTCAAAGGAAGTGAAGTAGAGGGTGATAAAATATCAACATTCATGTGGTAGAATCGATATCAAACAACTGCATAGCCTCCTCCAGGTTAGCACCATTCATTCTTGTGACAGAGAGTCAACTGGAGGCTAAGCAATCACCCACCGTTTTCATCTGGAAAGAGGAGTTGCATCAGCTGTCCTCATTATGATCTGCTAAGGGCCTCCTATTTGCTACTGCACAGCAGAACAGGGGTCAGAAAAAGATGCCCAGGAGCCAAATACAGTCCACTCTTTGGCTCTGTAACTAAAACTTTATCGGGACATACCTATGTCCATACACTGATAAGCCACCTGTGGCTGATTTTGTGCTGCCACAACAGGGTTGCTTTTACTGACTGCAAATCCTATCATATTTACTCTTTATTGAAAAAGTTTTCCAACCTCTCTTTTGGAGAACAAATCTGAATTGAAGTTGTGGAGGTCCCTGGCTTTATCTATTTCCCATTTGCATGGTACTATTTTCTCTATCAACAAAAATGTTGAGATAAAACTATCTCGATTCAAAGATGAGTACAAAGAAGTTCCATAGAGGGCTAGAGGGCTACAGTGGAGGGAAAAAAATCAGGAGCAGAAGACACGTGTGTCATATAAACTTACACCATGAAAAGTGCTCCAGGGCTACAAAGAGATCACTTGTTAGAAAAAAAAAAAACTCATAAAAGTGAAATTAAAGGTTAATTGGAAGAAAATGTTAGATGGATGAATACAAGTAAGAAATGGGGGAATTCATCCCAGGTATGAAAGTTACGTCAGAAACAACTAAAACTCGAATTAAAAAACTGTTAAAACTAAATCCAGAGACGTGGAGCCTTAAAGGAGCTTTACAAAAGGTAAATTTTCATCTATTTTCATCATCTACATATAAATTTGCTATATACTTCTACATATATAGAAGTATTTTAAAGAGAAAACTAAAGGAAACTGAAGTTAGATGAAGGCGATCCAACAACCT